GCTGGTATTTGTTGGCAATTAATTGTATGCTTATATATCTATTGAGCATTTATTTATTTCTGTATTTATTTTTAAATATGGCAGAGTTGGTTCTCCATACACCTCTCACTGCAGTTGAATAACAATTACCTGATATTTTTATTACTCTGAGGAGTTTATAGATTTAACCAAATTGGCCAAATTTCTTCAACGATCTCCACAGTTCATAAAGCCTTATGTAAACATGTCACCACCTACTGGTGGAGTGCAGAACTACAGTTAGTAATATAATCCCATTTTTTGCATTTTTTTTCCATATAAGTTAATTTGAAATGTTAATGTTTGTTCTGTATAATAAAATCTTTAATAAGTTTTTTTCCTGTGTGTGTAAAATGTATTAGAAGAGAAAAATAATTTAAGGTATTCCGTTTTTTTTTTTAGCCATTTTGGTGAAATAAGCTCGAACAGACAGTGAAAGTCTTAATGCAATGATGAGAAAATGAAAGGTTTTAGTCATTTTTATTTAAACATAATTTTCCACAGTTTTTGGTTTTAATCAGGTTGGAAGTTATGTCTTCAACCAATCTTTCGGTTAATCCCACCATTCATTTTTTTCTGTTTTTACCAATCTACTTGGGCAACCAATACAAATTAGCCACATTAGCCAAAACACTTGTGTTATATCTCAACTTTTCAAAGTATGAGGTGGGTCTTGAACCAACAACCCACAGATTGGAAGTCCATTTTCTCAGAGCTGACACCACTAAATAAGTCAAATATAGATAGGAAGCAATACTACTTGCAACCCTTTACATCTATTTTTAGTGACTAGCTCAGATTTTGATGATTACATTGTTTAATCTTACCAAACTAGTTTTAACCAACTAGATTGATTGGATAAACAAACTATCCAACTCTCCTACAAACTCCCACATCTTGACTGAATACTGAGGCTGAGTAAATGCCACTTCCCGAAGCGGTCATGTGGTATGGTGGGTAGCGAGGCTTCGAACGTCATCTATTTTGGCTCCACCCCCAAATAAATCACGCCTCGATACGCACCTCATGGAACTGCCCCCGCCACTACTCGACACACGCCTCGAAGCCTCGGCTCATCTCATGCCATCACTAGTTAATACCAATTTAGTAGAACTTTTACTCCACCATAATTAATCGATTTGACTGATAATTAGGAGGATGGTGCAACATCTATATTCTATAAGTCTAAATAAATCTGTAATTGTGTTTTGTTTTTTCAGCCACAGCAGTACTGCTACCCTTCACTCTTCATCTACGGTCATCGATCCTCAGGAAAAAGTCATGTGGTGAATGTTTTAATGAAGGAGCTGGAGGTGAGAAATGTTTTTAACTTAGAGACAAAATATTCTACAAAATTCATTTCAATTTATTTCTATAGCGCCAATTCATAAAACATGTAATTTCAAGGCAGTTTACAGAGATAATTCAACCAGATCATACAGTCAGAGTGGTTAAAAGTTTTCTAACTAAGGAAAACCAGTTGATTGCATCAACCTATTGACTCTTCAGCAATCCCTCAAACCAAGCATGCTTGTAGCAACAGTGGAGAGGAAAACTCCCTTTTAACAGGAAGAAACCTCCAGCAGAACCAGGCTCAGTGTGAGCGGCCATCTGCTGAGGCCCACTGGGTTTCAAGGAGACAGAAGCAGACATAGAAAAAGAAGCATAGATACAAAAGGCAACTGTCAACCAGCTCCACAGGCGGCCCCGTCCAGTAAACACAGATGAGTTATGAACCAGCTCCCATGTCCGAGGATGAAGAGAGCACATCCAGTTAGTTAGTCAGAGAAACAGGACTACACTGAAAAAACAGGCCAAGCTCCAACATCTAGAAACAAAGGTGTTGATGGCAGCAGCACAGCTGATATTTCTCTCCAGGATGGAGTCACAGCCAAACAGGAACAGACCAGATGAAGCTACTATGAGAAAAAGCAGAGAGAGCAGAACGTTAGAGATTGAACTAACAGATTCTGCAGAATGGGAGAATAGAGATAGAATGAAGCAGAATGATGAAAAAGGGTCCCTATGTCCTCCAGCAGTCTAAGCCTGTAGCAGCAAAAATATACAATCAGAATCAGAATTACTTTATTAATCCTTTGTAGAGAATTATTTTTTTGCAGTGCAACCTTTTACAGAAGAGAGAAAAAATAAGATTGTAGTATAAATGAGATATAAGAATAAAAAGAGGATCACAGTATATACAATCAACAGTATTTACGATATACAGTGCTGTTTTTATTTATTTACTGCGCATATTGAAGTAATCCATCCATCCATCTTCTTCCTCCACTTATCCGGGGTCGGATCGCGGGGGTAGCAGCTTCAGTAGGGAGGCCCAGACGTCCCTCTTTCCAGCCACTTGGGACAGCTCCTCCGGGGGAATCCCAAGGCGCTCCCAGGCCAGCCGAGAAACATAGTCCCTCCAGTGTTTCCTGGGTCTCTCCCTGGGCCTTCTCCTGGTGGGACGTGCCTGGAACACCTCACCAGGGAGATGTCCAGGAGGCATCCTAACCAGATGCCTGAGCCACCTCAACTGGCTCCTCTTGATGTGGAGGAGCAGCGGCTCTACTCTGAGTCCTCCCTGGATGACTGAACTCCTCGCCCTCTCTAAGGGAGAGCCCAGACACACTACGGAGAAAACTCAAGATGAGGCTTTACTGTCATTGTAAAGAAACTTTAAAGTTATTTCAACTCGTATTATCTTTATCTAATTAATCGAAGTCAAAAGCAAGCTCCAAAATTGGTTTTCCCTTATTTCATAAAAAGATGAAAGTTAGCTGAATTTAACTCTTTATTTTCCAAGGTTTACACAACGACATTTTCTTCAGCTAAAAAAAAAGCTGTAGTTTTTTATGTCAAAATAATTACTTAATATTAAGCTTGCTTTACATTTCTTTCAATTTATTTTATTATTTTTTATCAGTAATGTCTTAGCAGGTTAAAAGCAATTGCTGTAGAGACTATTTAGGCCTTATTCTTGCTGAAATCTCATTTTAAATTTGAGTAGAATTTTTCTTTTAAATGAAGCATTAATTTATTTTTCACCTTCTCCTCGTCTGCAGCTTCCTCACACCACAGTCAGCTGTGTGGAGTGCATCTCTGCTGCGCTGCTGTTTGAACAAGTGCTGCTGTCCTTCTTCGGCTGCGACGCCGCCGCGCAGCTCCCCCGCAGCCCTTCGATCTCAGACTTTGTTCGTATCTACAGACAGCAATCCTCCCAGTTTCCTGCCAAGCAGACGCGATTCATCGTGAGTCCTGTTCAGTTTATGCTCCAGTCTCTCATCATTTACCACCTCTAGTGCCCCAATCATTCACCTATTTAATCAGTCACCCTTTCTGTTTGTTAATCATCAGGAAATTAGAAAATAAAGTTTTCCCTTTGTAGATCTGTACATAAGGGCCATATTTGAGCTCACAGGAACAGGCCTTATGTTTCTTCAGGTGATGGAGAAAGCTGAACTTCTGAGAGACGCAGATGCCAATCTTCTCCCGGCTCTCCTCCGTCTTCAGGAACTGGTGAGTTTTTTCTTTCTTTATCTCTGGAAACATTTAGTTGTTTTTTGGACTAATCCTATAATGGAGAGAACCTCCAAGAGCCTCGTTTGTAAAGAACGACCTTGAGCTGGAAGGTAGGAGTTATTTCACGATGCTGTTAGGGGAGAAGGATTGCATCCTCTGGCTGCATTTTAATTAAATCTCTGCCATATTTCCTCTTGTGAAAGCAGAGAATCTGTCCTTTGAGCTTCAGTGTTTCAACATGAGAGCTTAAAGTGATAATTGGGATGCAGGTTTAGGATTATAGATGACGTCCTGATTCAATTTCCTTTTTCTCAACAGGCTTACTGATACATTTTGACTCATCACAGATAAAAATATGTCTTTTCGTCCATCAACCTGCCCTATCCATAACTCCTCAAGTGGAAAAGTTGTAGTTTCACCTGGTGTTGCGGCGAACGTCCCCTTTGTTTATATCAGCTGTTTGAGCGTGAGCATGCAGCTTACCCACGTGCAATTAATCAAATAATCAATCACAATAACGTGAGATGAACGTCCTGGTTTGAGTAGGAGGACTGCATCATGAAATAAAAAGTCTGCCGTTCCACTCGGGCAGTGGAAAGAGCTGTGCAAAGTTTGTATCAAGAAAGCGAAGGACTGAACAGACGGCCAGTAAACTCTCGTTTAATCCTGGTGTGAATGTAATGTATGTGCTGCGCTGTTTGTGTGTTTGTAGCGCGGTTACGCTTGTAAATACTCACCTGGTGTATTGTGAAAATGTTGGCTTGTAAGGCTTCTTGAAACTTGCTTTAATTACTGGTGTAACTTGTTTGCTGTAATTTGTTTGACATTGTGGTTAAAACTGTCCAACTTGATGTGTTTGTGACACTGTTACACGGAGTAATTTGGTGCTAGTGAAGACGGGTTAAAGACGTGCATCTTTCTTCCTGCGTGTGATTAAAGCGGACTTTGGATATTTCACTGCTAAAATGAAATTTCATAGGTTGTGTTATGCATTAGGGGTGGAACGGTTCGCAAAATCCACGTTTTGGTTCGGTTCACGGTTTCGTGGTCACGGTTTTCGGTTCGGTATATGTTGATTGTTACCCCGAAATCCCATAAAAATAATGAAATTAATGAAAAAAATCCCCCAAAAAATTTATGAATTGTAATTTTTTTTTAATGATCCGCGGAAACCCTGGATCATTTCCGCATGTTTTGCTGCTTTGAATTTAATCATCTGGCGCATGCTCTCTACGATCTCCAAGGAACTCAGAGCGGAGCGGACGGGAGCCACAGCGGAGGCTGTAGGCTTTGCTTTGAGCAGCCGGTCTGGAGCGCAGCGGGGCGGAGCGCTGATGGAGTATGAGGGATTTCGGGGTTAGCATGACATGTTGGTCATGTTGCTGTTATCGTAAACAAAA